AGAGGTAATTTAGATTACTTGTCAACCTACAACTATCTAGGCTAGATTTATATACTTGAATGTTCAAATTAATCCCATGAAAAATAGTGTAAAGGAAAACGAAATATTTGCTTATTTTAAGACGATTAAAGAGACAGCATGTCGATTGTGTCTTAATCACAGCCCAAATTTAATAATGTATGAATTGAATTTAAACATCCCACTATCCTCTTGTCCCTCTTATACTGCAAGACTTAGGAAGTGGAGAAGGGCGCACAGAAGTAGTGATGGAGTTAAACATGTAAAAGTTCCACCAAAAAAATGGTTTCCTAGACTTTCTTCTTCTGCTACTGGGCAGAATAGGACAAAGCAAAACAACAAAATGTGTTTTTCATCACAGTGTTTAAGTCAGTGGGTTTGGTTATATAGTTTAACTTAATAGCTTGGCATTTACAAAAATAGTAGGTTAAATATTCAGATTACATCATCTGTGGTAACATCAGGATAAATTACAGATTTATTAGAAGACAAAATATACAAAATGAATATATAGTAACTTTAAATCAAATGGAAAAAATGCCCTGCTCTTTTAGAATCTATCCTGGACATCCACCACTGCCTTCTTTTCAGTCCAAGACATCATTATCTTTTAATCTTTATATGGAAATAACCTTGTACTTCATCTCTTTACATCTTATTCCCCTGCTGTACATATTTTCCACAGTCACCAATATGATTTTTCAAGTGAGAAAATCTGATCACGTAACTCCTACCTTACAAATTTTAAATGACTTCTTTTCCTAGAAAAATACTCAGATTCTAAAATGTTCTGAAAAGACTTTCTTGATTCAGCTATCTATAGTCTGTTTAAAACTAAAAAGAAAAATAGACTTAAAATATGCATGTTCACTATGAATAATTAAATATGTGCTTCTCTGTGGATATTTATTTATGACCAAGGATTTTTGTCGATAGATATTCTAAAATTTACAGAAAATGGATAGTAATCCAAATTACCTTACTGACAATATTCAAAATAGTATAGCTATATATAAATATGTATGTATAAACAGTTAAATTGCTCAATAATTTATTAAAAATGGTTTTTAAAAGGCAATATAGAATTTATTAGAGATAGTGTGCATGTGGCAAAACATTTGTGGTGTTACATTTGCCTTGATATGCACTACAAATATTTAATAAAGAATAAGTTATTAAAGCAGTAGATAACAGTGTTCAAGTCAGAGAGTAGTGCAGTTACAGATAACCATATCTAAAAAGATTTCTAAAATATGTCTAAAAGGAAGTCTTAATTTTTTTAAGGATCAAATTTGTGGATCAACACAATACATAATTCATATACCTAATGGGGAAGTATATCAGTTTTCTAGAGATGAAAACTATAGTTTTAAGTTGCCCACATTGTTCTTGTTAGTGAGGTTTTCTCTATACATAAATCATGAATCAATTCAACAGTTACTTGTCAAAATCCTGTTACATGCCAGATTAGTTCCCTAAGGGCTGGAGATTCAAAGGTTGACTGAAGCAAACAAGAGCTTGCTCCCATGGAGCTTAGCTTCAAGTAAGGATGGAGATAGATGATAAACAAATAAATAATTTTACGTAGAAACTAATATGTTGATGAAAAATGCTATGATATAAGGAAGTGCTTATGATTTAAAACAGTGCTATGATATTAAGATTTACTCAGAATATGCCACTATCTTAATTGCTGGCCATGGATAGTGCTCTTCTGAGGAGGTGACATTTGAACAGAAACAAGGATGAGAATAAACCTAACATGCCAAGATCCAGAGAATTCCAGGCAGAAGGAAGAATAAGCACAGGTGCCTGAGGGCAGGGATAACACTAGTGTATTCAAAAAGAGAAAAGTTAGTAGAGAAAGAGACAAAGCATTTAACTGAGAGGAAAGAAAGGTGGATTATATAGACCATAATAGGCCACAGTAAGAAATGTAGATGTTACCTGTGAGCCATTTTTTTAAGAGGAGAGTTACATGATTTGATTTGTGTTTTAAAAGATCCCTCTGTTGCATAGATAATAGGCCTTAATGCGGCCAACACTGGGAGGCAAGAGGATCATTAGAATTGCAGCAGGGCCAGGAAAAGATGTTGAAATATATAAACCTTAGCACATTTTAAATATGTGAACTGTGACTGCTGTATTGTAGGCATTTAATGTCTATTTGTTGAATGAATGAGCAAATAGCATAATGCTTATAAACATTAAAATCTAGTAGTGTGTTATAATACTGGCTACATATTTTGGGCATGAAAACCAAAACAAACAAAAGTACTAAGAGTCTTTAAATGTAGAAGAAATCCTGTAATTTTTGTTTATATTTACACATTTTCCTCATTAAAATAATTTAAATGATTTGAAAATCCAAACTTAAAAAGAAGAATATTCTATAATGGTATTATTCACCAAGCATCTGACATTTCGTAATGTTAATTCTACAATACTTTGTACAGTTATGGTCTTAATAAGAGATAAATTATAGAAATTCTGAAATCAATAAGAATGTTGTCCATTAGTTGGCAAAAAGAGAAATATTTGAAAAATATCCTAAGTTTGAGATTTAAAAAAAAAATACTCTGTCTTCTATACATGAGATATTTATATAGAAACATTGGATTACAACTGTGGTATGTGGAAGTCAACCCATGCAAACCCCAAAATCCAATTGTGAAATTTTTAGGAAATCTATGAGCATTGTTTTAAACAAGTAATTATTAAAATAGAATTTATGTAAACTTAAATTTAAAAGCTTAAAACAAAGGTAATAAATACTCAGAAAAACATCAATTCTGAACTGTTTTACTATATTATAATGTAGTCAATGTTTTTGAGGTTCTCATTGTATCTGTATGGTGGCAATTACGTGTAATGATGTGCTACTGTGCAAGTCTTCACAGCTCCACGTTAAGTGACATCACTTTGGAGGCTTGAAATCACACACGGTGAGAACATTTACAACACAGAAATTGGCAAACACTGTAAACAGGGCTTTCCCCTCTCCCTAGTGATTCAACGGTTCAACATTTACCAGTGCCATTAGTGATAGCTAAACTGAGGTTACCATCACCACTGCAGCATCTCTTGCTGAAAACCTCTAGTCTCAATCCCAGAAGCAGCTAGGTTCTCCTTTCCACAAGGAATGATGAACCAAGGGTGAGTACAGAGAGCAAAAGCTTGCTATGGCTAGCTTCTAGACAAGAGAAAGGCAGCCCAGGGTTCAAGAGCAATTTATTTAGTGATTTTGTGTTTTATCTTCCTTGAAATAATGGCCCTATTTCCCTCTAATTTCCTTTTGTGACATAGCTCCACTAAGTGTAAAACTATTGAAGGTATTGCAAAGTTCTGATTATAGAAAATGTTTCAAAACCAAAAAAAAAAAAAATTACATTTTTTCCCTGTCAGATTAGCAATAAGAAAAGAAGGTAACATTACAGTGGTGCAGTGAGAAAAGCACTGATAAAAAACAATAGGAATTTAAATTAGTAATTGTTTTTGAAGAAATTTGTCAACCTCAAACACTTTGTCTTATATTTAAATTTAACCTGAAGAAAGATGAATTTATGAAAATGAACTCTAAAATTATATATGATTTAAAAACTATAATGAGTTTGCATATTTGTTTGAAAGAACATCATTTATAATTTTAAATAAAATTTACAAAATAAGTGGAAGCTGAAACTTGAAATTACATATATGAACAGAGTGACTATAAATCAATTCAACTAAGCATTAACAGTAGCTATTTTAGGGTATTTGGAGCATGATTCTTTTTTTTTCACTACTGTATAATTACTATATTTTCTGAAAAGACAAAAATGATGATTAAACTAAAAAATTCAAAGTTTTATTTGGGTTTGAAAAGAATGTATATATGTATTGTGGCAAATTTCACAAAAACATGGCATACAATGGAAGCTAGCATTTATTAAATACTCCAGCATAGTGTTAAAGGATTTCTTGTTAGTTTAATATATAGAATATTCATTTATTTAGATCAAATCACCAAACTTTCTTTTCTTTCTTTTTTTAAAATTTAACTTTTATTTTAAGTTCAGGGGTACATGTGCAGATTTATTATACAGGTAAACTTGTGTCATGGGATTTGTCGTACAGATTAACCAAATATTCTTATAAATTATTTATTATCGTGTTTAAGATCTTCTAGTATTTCATAGCCTCTCAAACATTTCTCAAATTAACATCTATTGAATTTTAGTATAATTAAACCATATCATGCATATAGAATGAGAAAAAGTATATCAAAAATTAAATAACAGAATGCTACACATCAAAAAAAGAAATGACTGCCTCAAATATATTTATTTCTAAATCAAACAAAGTTGTCAGAAATAAAATTTGTAGAAAAGGAATAGATAAAATAAAGAAAAAAGGCAAAGGAGCTATAATTTCGTGTTTTTCTATTTTATTAATATGTGAAGTGAAAGAAAGTTAGAATAGTATTAAAAATAGCCCAGTGTATATCCTTTTGATATGAGAAGATTGGTTACTATTAAATAATAGCCTAGTTTTATATAGTATTCAATAAATTATGTAATCTTAATTGTACTTTTTATTTGAAAATTGTGCTTTTCATTTGAATGCGAAAATAATTGACAAAGATTAAATATATTCAAGGTGAGCAACATGAAGATTTGATATAGATACATATTGTGTAATGATTACCACAATCAAATTAACTAATACATCCCATACTATACACTGGATCCCAAAACCTGGTTCATCTTATGTCTGAAAGATTTAAACGACATCCAGATAATAATAAGTATGTGGTATGTCACAGACTTAACTTTTGTGACTCATAAGGGAAGAAATACCAAGTTTCAGGGCATCCTTGATATGTTAAATCTACTTCAGAAAATACAAACATTGGTGTGAATATCAGGCTTATCCAAACCTTGGGAATCCATAGGGTGTAGAAACTCACAAATGCTTAGTTGCATGTGTCTTAAATGACTCACCTGAAATTTTGACTTGAGACACCACTCCATCTCCTCCATCGCTGTGTGCGCGAACCTCCACAACATATTCTCCGTCTCTGGGTATTGGGACTTCTATGGAGTGTTTATGAGTTGAATACAGCTTGCCATCATGCTGGCCATCAGGTCTGTAGAGTACCTTATCAAATACAGAAATGGAAATATGCAGTAAAATCATAATAATGAGCCAGTGCCCTAACACTAAAACCAGAATAAAAATGCTTATACTTTTATTAACAAAAATTAATAAGTTTAAACTAGAGGAAAAAAATAAATTTAAAACTAGAAGGAAAAGTGTTATTTTCTATTCACAATAATTGATTTTTGCAAGTTTTTAGGGCTATCCAAGGAGATGTGACTTAAGCATCTGAATTTTATTTTTTGAGATGACCCAAAACAAAAATATGGAAAGAATGTGTCTTTTTAAGAAAAAAGTCCAAAATGAGGACTTTTAAAATATTGAAATGGACTGAAAATTGCCTCTCAATTTACTGTTTTCCACAAAATTTGGTATTCAGTGAAAAATGTGATAGTGTATGATATAAAGACTATATTTAAAATAAGCTTTTCTCTTTTTGTTCATTTATAAACAGTAACTTAGTTTATCAAAGAGTTTGCTGGGTCCAGGGCAACACTATCATGATCATTGCCAAACAAAAATGGTTTCGTTCTCTCTCCTCCTTAAGCTTTGATTATTTTATTCTATCTTTAAAGTATTCTGTTTATCTTAATCTTTTGACATAGCATTTTGCTGAAATTCATTGAAGACAATTTTTTTCCATTTAAAAATGTATCATGGTACTATGTCATCTGATTCTGCTCTACAACTATTAAATAGAATAAAAAATCTGAATAGTGCTGGGCATGGTAACAATACCTGTAATCTCAGTGCTTTGGGAAGTCGGGGCAGGTGGATCATTTGAGGTCAGGAGTTCGAGACCAGCCTGGCCAACATGCCGAAACCTGTCTCTACTAAAAATACAGAAATTAGCCAGGTGTGGGGGTGGGCACCTATAATCCCAGGTACTCAGGAGGCTGAGGCAGGAGAATCACTTTAACCAGGAAGCAAAGGTTGCAATGAACCAAGGTCACACCTCTGCACTCCAGCCTAGGTGACAGAGTGAGATTCTATCTTTAAAAAACAGGGGGGCGGGGCTTGAATGGGTTTCACCAGAACAGCAAAAATTGAAAACATTATTCATCGCTATTTGTAAGAATTAAGTTTGTGTAACTAATGATCTTGTAATCTTTTATATACCTTGTATCCTGTCACTGTAGATTCATTTGATAGTGCAACGACATGATCCCAGGTGATTATATAGCGTGAACCAGACCTTACTGAACTGATGATCCTTGGAGGCTGGCTAGGAGCTGTGAAAAGTAGTAATAATGTAATCAGTGGTCACCAAATATCCAATCTCAGTTCTGCATACTCTATTGCATCAGGTATTGTAATGCTGATGATAGTAGTGCTGAAAATAGCACCATCTAATTTTAATAAGTGTTTGCTATGTGCCAGGCACTATGCTAACCACTTTACATCCATGAGTCCATTTAATGTACCCCATGGCCCTGTGAGCTAAGTAATGACTGTCTTTTATTCTCTTCTCATGCTCCACTTGGGTTTCTTTCTCTACTAGTCTTTTGAAACTGTTGTTTACAAGGTTATCAATAACCTCCACTTGGCTAAATCAAATGTCACTTGTTTATTCTTTTTTGAATTTAACGTTTTTGAAGTAGTTCACAGAACTGACCATCTTCTTTCTTGAATCTCTCATTTTTTCTTAAATTCAGATCCTAACAACTGGGTTTTCTTTCTATTTCATGGACTGCTCCTTCTCATTATTCATGTTTAGCTGGCTCCCTTTGTCAACTTGTAACTGTTGGATGACTTAGAACTTCATCTATGCACCCTTTTCTACTCTCTCTGCGGATCTTCCTTAAGTACTGACACCTAGGCCCATGGCTTTAAATATTCAAAGTTCTGTCTCTAGCCCTAATCTCTCTTTTAACCTGTAGACATATGTGGCTAGAAGTCTCTCTGTCTGGGCAGATATCAGCCTCTCTCTACTTGAGTGTCTAGAAGATTTCTCAAATGTAATATAATTAAATGTAATACATTTCTCAAATGTAATATAATGTCAAGTATCCTTAAATCTTTCTCCATTGAGTCTTTGCCATTGTCAGCAAATGCACAACTAACCCCCTAGTTTCTCAAGCAGAAATTTGGTAGTCTCTCATCCCACTGATTGCCAACATCCATATTAGCAAGTTGTTAACTCTGCCTCCATATAACTTTCCACTTCTGTCTCCATTATCACTTAGTGCTAGCCACTATCAGTTCTCTCCTTGACTGCTGAAATAGTTTCCAACTTGGCTTTTCTGCTTTCACTGTTAACCCACTACAATCCATTTTCTGTCCAGAAGCCAGAATAATATTTTTTTAAATGACATCATAAATTAGATATCACTCTGTTTTAAAACCTTTCAATGGCTTTTTATCATGTTTAGAAAGAACTCAAACTCATCACAGTTGCTTACAAAGTCCTCCACAATTTGGTCCCAGAACTCTTCCTCCTCCTTACTCAGAACCTATGCCTGGGACCCACTGGCCTGGAACACCTAAAACATTTCAAGCACTCTCCACCTTAAGGTTTTCTACTACTTGGCGTGCAGAGAACCTTAAGGCTCTGTCTAAAGCTCTTCACCTAGTGGGTTCATCTTTTCACTTATCACTCAAATCTTAGCTTAACTGGCATCTTCTCAAAGAGGCCCTTCCTGGCCACCCAATCAGAATTTCACTTTCATCTAAGTCACTTTCATTATATCCATTTATTCACTTTATTGCCCTGTCATCTGCTATAATCCCACTTACTTATTTCTCAGAGTTTTTGTTTGTTTGATGTTTCTGTCTCCTTCCATTAGCTTGTAAACCATGTGAGAAAAGCATCTTGGACTGGCTTGATCCCTTTTTTATCCTCACCATCTAGAATAGTGCTGAGTACATAGCATATTTTTGGTGAATGAATAAATATATGAACAAATAGAAAAAGAACAAAGAAATGCATGCTCCTTTTACAAATTAGAAAACTGAGGTTTAAATAGGTAATTGATCTCTTGTCATACATTTAGCAAGTGGCAGAGACAGATCTCAAACACATGTCTGACACCAAATTCTAGCTCTTGCCACTACATTTGTCATCTCCTTGGGAGAGTCTCTGTCCCAAAGTGAATCTCATAAATTTGCAAACTCTAATGGTAATTACATCTTCAGATTCTTGAGACATTCCCTTGAGTCCTGCATACAAATTCTCCTTTTTTATATATTCAACTTTGGTTCAAGAACAGAGATATAAAAATGAATCCAGAGAGATTAGAATGACCTGAAAGTGAGCAGGAATAGGTGGCAGTGTTTTGTGAACCACGTAAAACAGAACTAGAACATACAGCAATAAGAGAATAAGCATAGTGCTACACATTTAACATGCACTGACATTTAACATACTATGCATTTAACATATAATGACAGAGGTTTATAAATTAAAGCATGTAAAAACAAGCAAAGTTTTAGTTTTTACATGCTGTTGATGTACTCTTATGAAAACAATGTTTAAATTAATAAATACAGGATGAAGAAAAGTCAATGGCACAAAATTGGAGAGCACAGCCTTTACAAAAGGGCAGTTCTCTAATTTTTATTTCTATAATGGAATATTTAATATATGAAGGTATTTTTCACAGTTTTTCTTCATCTATAGTAACTCGTGTTTTGAGGGAAATTTTGTGTGGCTATAAAGGATATCATTGAAAAATGTAGTCAGGTAGCTAGCTAGGAAATTTCCTTCAAATGTACTCATATCATGATGGAATCAAATGGTAGTTTTTGACAAATCTAAAAACAAAATGTGAAACTCACGTGCTTTCTTGGTGAAAGCCTCAATCCTGTCACTTGGAGGTCCACACCCTGCACTATTGCAGGCCCCAACTTCTATAAAATACTGGGTGTCTGGCAGAAGGTTCTCCAGCCTGGCCGAGTACTCTTGGCTGGTGACTTGAACTCTGTTTGCAGCTTCTTCTCTGTCATGGGCAGCCCAGTACCGAATCTGCAAACATTCAGGATGAGTTATATTCTGCCATGATTTAGACTGTTCAGTTGTGAAAATTTCTCTTCAGCTACTTCTGTTACCATTGCTGTTGGCTGATCATCATAATTTCAAATCCTTTTTAATGATACGTACCCATCTATCAGCTTTAGAATATAATACGGCACCCAGGGCAGAAATGATTTAAGATGCCAAAAGCAAATCAAAGTCTCACTTCATTGCCCAAAATATTTTTACATTGACTGAAAAATAAATTAAAAATCCCCAAAACTTAGCAGCAGACTTAACTTTCAAAATATAAAAGTGGTCTCCATTTGGACATATTTGCCACAGTAATTTTTATCATTTATTTCCTGTTTTACTTCTGTTTGCATGATTTCAAACTTGTTCTGACCCATTCTTAAAGCAGTTGGAGCAGAATATAATTTTTGATAAAAATAGTCATTATGTGGCCTAAAACATGCTAAAATAACACTTTCTTCCAGCTCCTTTCAGAAGTATTTCCTTTGAACCCATATATAAGCTAGATATCAAAGAAATACATCTAATAATTGGATAAACTCTGTCATTTACCTGTAAAGTAATTTTTTAAAAAATGTTATCAATTTTGTGATTAGAAATGATTGCTTTTGCCATATAATTACAGGATTTCTTTTCCCTTAAAGTTTAAGAAAATTTATGGATTATAATTTTAATTCTTTAAATAAAGGCTGTTTTTTTGCATCAAAAATTTATAATTAAGGTATGAGTAGAATGAAAAAATATATATATTTAGATGCCCTGTCTATAAAATAACAGGATTATAATTTTACAATTAACCAAAATGCCTAGATTAAAATGTCTAATAAAATAATCCTGCACTTTTTATTTACATAAACATGTATGAAACCATTATGAAATGCAACAGGATGGCTCAAATTCACTTGGCAAAAGTGAGGTTTATATGTTGAATGAGCACATTTCTAAACATTCAGGAGTGGATGAATGCTTTAGCTTTCATCCCAGGCAGGGCAGGTTCAGAGCCACATTTATAAAAGTCCTCAAAGGTCTCGAGGGATGGAGTACCAGTTGCCCACAGTGGTTGCCAACAAGACAAATAGCACCTTTGTTTCCGAGCTCCCCACTTTCCTGTTTACTCTGTCTTTTCCTCATACCTGCTTCCTAGGATCATATTGAAAACAATCAACAATAATAAAAACTTTTCTCCACATCATTGTTTGTTTGAGGCTCTGTTTAGAAGAAATTCAGACTAATATGGATGACTTCTCCAAAATAAGGAAATAAAGCACTTTCTAAATATCAGTTTCTGCTCACCATAATTATTTAACCTTTAAAAACATTTGAATAGACTATACAGGATTGTTCAACTTTTATGATGACTGTAAAATCAGTCATCTGCATTAATCTCCAATTCAGCTGATAAAAGTTCTTGCATTCATTATTACTGTTAGCCTATTTAATTTGTATTAAATTAAGTGAATATTTTACCTACTGGGTAAAATATTGAAAGTAAAATATTGAAAGTGAAATGTTGAAAGTGGAGAGCTCTTTAACCAAGTAAGAGAATAAAAACACTAAATGACATAACAGTCTACTGAGATACACTTTAAAACCACAAGGGAAGAGATTATCTTTAGATTCAATTGCTCACAATTCTCATTTGAAATTTCAGGAAATGAACCTTGAGATGATGTCAATCAGGAAAGAGCCAGGGCTTCCCAGCTTTATATTTTATGTTTTTAACATGCTGCTTTTCTGTGTATCTTTAGACACAGAAAAATATAGATCCATTGTCCATTTTCATAGGAACTGCAGTGGGGTATTAGTTTTCACCATCATCTATCTTGTTAAACCATTGCTTCTCCCATCATATTTTAAAATGGAAACAATAACCACATTATAGTCAGTCAAGATTCCCCCCCTCCACCTTCAGAGGAGCATTTCTTGCAGAAGAATAAATAAGATGGATGTTCTCTTTTAAGTGTTCATGCTTGTCTGTTTGATATTCAAGACCCTGTGTGAAAGGTTTAAAGGGATTTTAAGAAAGAATGAATGGAAAGAATAATTGTATGATTTACTTTCAGCAATTTTAACCAAACATTGTCTGGAGAGGCAAGAACTGGATTAAACTCTGATTATGACAATTATTACTCAGGCAAACATTTCTAAGCCTCAAGTCTTTGATCTCTAAAATGGGGATAATAATAGTGTTTATCCTCTAAGTCATGTGGATTTAATAAAATGAGCCTAATTGAGTGTTTAGCACAATAAGGAATCAAGAAGTGTTATCAACCTTTTAATTATTAAGATCATCATGATAATCTTCATCACCATCATCATCATCATTGTTATCATCATCACCATCTTTGAATGCTCAGTGACATAAACAGGGAAAATCATTGAGTACAAGTTATTTAATATCTCTCACATAACAGTTCTATGAGGCAGTGGTTACTCTCTCACTTTATAGGTGAGGAAACTCAGAAAGTTCAAATCAATTTTCTACAAAATTCTTAAGTGACAGAGCTGAAATATAAAGCCATGTTTGCTCAGCAGCAAAGCTCATAAGTTTCTACTTAATGTGAAGTTGGAAAAGGTCAGAAATCTGTGAGATGAACTCCTCATGGCACATACTTTTCCCCTGAAATTATTGTTTGAGAAAATCTTATTTGATGAAGATTACTTTTTACTGCCTGTTTGAAAATTTTTAATCAACATTTCATTCCCAATCAAAAGAGCATATTTAATTATTATCTGAATCACTGGTTTCACTGTGTTGCTTCCTACATCATATTTCCTTTGTCCTCTTCTTATTAAAAGTAAGAAAATAGTCAATAGATAATTCTTGGCATTGACATAGATAATATATAACTTTCTATCATGTTTTAAATGAAGTCAAATATGTGATATATTTGTTATTTTGACTCAGTGATATTGGTTATGTATTAAATTATCCTTTTTTCAATTTTTATTTGTTAGAAATAAAAGAAGAAAGAAATCCTGTGATCCAAAATTTGACTTTCCAAGCTCTATACATTGATAACTTCTCCCAAAGATACCTCAGACTTAGTTACTATAGGATTTGTAACATCTAGAAAATTTCTCCTTTTCCTACTCCTTTTCTACTAGCAGTAAACACAATTGTCAGGTTAGTACATTATGAATATTGAGTATTCTCAGTCTAGTGATTCGCAGCCAACTCTTCTCTGCTCTGTAGTAAATTCAGCTGAACCCTTGCACAGATGGTCTGAGAGCTCTTTAAGATCTTCCCAAATTATCACCTATTGCACCAAAAACAAATTCTTCCTGTTAGTCTGGGTGTGTATGCTCAAAGGCGTGAGTTTCTTTTACAGCTACATCTCAGAAACATGGCCTTGAGAAAGCCCAATTGTAACACTTTATTTACTCATACTTCCTTATTCCCATCAGTATTCAGTGAATATCTATAGCCTGCCAGGTGCCCAGCACTGTTCTTGCATGGCACTAAGAATAAAACAATACCCTGCCCTCATGGAACTAATATCGCATGGACAAGGGAGAGGGGAGAGGGCTGGAGCTAAGAATGCAAGCTGTCTGTGGGAGTGGGGTGGGTGGATGGGCAGCCCTAGACAGGACTCCCTGAGAGAAAGAGAAGGGAGTCTGTGATGTGTGGCAATAAATCCCTGAAGTTTGTATCTGACAACTCGAGTTTTAGATACTGCTCTGACATTTTTTGTAAGTAACAATCAAAGCAAGTTGTCAAATCTCTTTGGTATCCATTTGTTCATCTTTAAAGGTAAGATCATGTCAGTTCCTTTGAATTTTCACTTCTTGCACTTAAACATGTGAGGTGATTTCACATTTTCTACATAACTTAGTCTAAATTGTGATAGCATTGTATTGAAGACCCCAACTATCTTTCTATTTTGATTTTCCAGTTCTTGCTGGACGAAGACAAGCTTCCTCATTTGTATCTGGCTGATTCTCACTGGTTCTTTAAAATTAAGGTCAAGGGAAGTTTTATTTGGGTCATTTTGATGGTTACTTCATAGATAATATAAGACATATTTGGCATGTTTATAATTGTTTACTTTGGAGGAACTTTTTGAAATGGAACTACTGATTCAAAGAGGGTGATTATTTTCAGGATGCATCTATAAATTACCAGAATGATTTCCAAAAAACTTGAGATTCTCCAGCTTTTTATGAGAATGTTTTCCTAAAAATACTTTGGGAAATCAGAAAAGTTATTACCAATAGTTTTTATTTTGGACAGTTGTTTCGCAGGACTTAGGTTTCTTGACATCTCCCCTACATAGGCCAGTTAGGAATTCCCATTTTATTCTTAACAATTAACTTATATATGACCACAATACTAGACACAGAATACAATATTAGTTGCCACATAAATTAATGAGGCATGAAACATAAAATACATTTGAAAACTTAGGCTCATATATTTATGAATAAATGTATTTAGTTTGATAAAAATTGAACTTACCTGATAGCTTTCCACTATTTTTTCTAAAACATGTTCCCAGTGAACAGATATCTCAGAAGATGATAAGACTTTTACACCTACTTCTGTTGGGGCTTCACTGGGAGCTGAAATTTTATGAGAACATTACATTATAAGTGAGATATTTACATTTAAGAAATTCAACTAGCATTATTTGCTATATGAATGATGTTGCACCATACTTCAATTTTTCTAAAATAGCTTTAATATTCTCAAATGAACACAAGCACAATTATTATATTACCTCTTCCTGTATTTTTCTGTTACTTTATTTTATGGCATTAATGATAGATGTACACACATTCATATACAAAATTGTTAATATAGACATATACACATACACATGCCCACACACACTTTTACCAAATACAGAAAGCTCCTTTAATTTCTATTATATCTGTGAGCAAAACAATACTAATTTTTAAAAAAATTCTCTCAACTGATATGCTTAAGAAAGCCTGTTGATGCGAATTAAAATTATTAGTATTAGCTATCAACTCTATATTATTGGAAATAGCAAATTTAGCATTTAGTATAGAAAATAGTTCAATATAATACATTTTCTCTTACATGCTATTTGTGTAAACTAACTATAAGCAGCAATATAAAAATAAATATTCCCTTTTTAAGTTCAAGCTAAGATCTTAAAAAAAAAATTTAGAGCCTTTGAAACAAGTTGTGACATCCACTGTTTCCTGGGCTCAAGAAAGCTTTTATATGTCTAATCTTCCAACTGGGCATCAAGTCAAGTATGTATCTAAAAGGCCTCTGTTCAGAGAAAAAAAGTAATTTACATCTCTTATGAAATTTACACAAAGAAACCAATGAAGGCTTTAAGCAGGGGTGATCAATTTTTATTGTCTTTCATTTAAAAAGCCATAATCCTATTTAATGTGTGAAAATGTTCTACACATGAACACTGTTGCCTTTCCAAATCAAGGCAAACCTGTAGCATTATGATTGACTTCTCAGCAGTAGAAGAAGAGATTAACACGTATACAAGTTTCAACACATGCAAGTTTTATGAAACTCATAAAATATTTAGGAAAGAAATATAATTAAATACAAATGGCCATGACTAAATAGATGACAAGCTATTTGCCTGAAAGCTTAATTTAGCATCAAGTAAGCAGTAAAAAGGTGAGAAGGTAACTTGTAAAAAGGCTTAAGATACTCGTTTTATCTGTAAGATGTACTCATGTTCTTCAAATTATTAAAACTGAGCGAAGTTTATATATATATATATATATATATATATATATATATATATATATATATAAAATTATACAAATACAATTTTTTTTCTTTTTTCTTTTCTTTTTTTTTTTCTTTTGAGATAGAGTTTTGCTTTTGTTGCCCACGCTGGAGTGCAGTGGCGTGATCTCTACTCACTGCAACCTCTGCCTTCCAGATTCAAGCTACTTTCCTGCCTCAGTCTCCCCAGTAGCTGGGATTACAGGCATGAACCACCACACCTGGCCAATTTTGTATTTTTTTTGTAGAGACAGGGTTTCTCCATGTTGGTCAGGCTGGTCTCACACTCCTGACCTCATGTTATCTGTCCACTTCGGCCTCCCAAAGTGCTGGGATTACAGGCGTGAGCCATCATGTTTGGCCAAGTTATATTTCTGCTGAATGAGCGCAAGCATAGAGAATGTAAGTTTGTTATCAGGACTTTTCCACTGTTTGATAATAAACAAATTATTTCTACTTTTTTTCTTTGAATGTATTTGATTGTGCTAGCTTAAAGGTAAATATATATGTGTGCGTATATATATATACGCACACATAGTATATTCAAATACACATTTTTGTATGCAGTAAAAATATATACAGTAAAAATTATATGCTTTTAAATATATACATGTATAAATGACTGCCTTTTATATTAATAATTGTTAAATCAATTTATGTATATTTAAGATATGTGACATGGTATTATGAGATACATATATAGAATAAAATGACATTTAATAAAACAAAGATCATAGGATGATTTAGTTATATATTACATTTTTAAACAAACACTAAAACTAATAATCCTGTGACTGATGAACATGTGAGAATTTCTGTTGTGGTCTAAGGCATGGCTAAATGTCTGTTTTGGAGTAAAAATAATGCAAGTTGGGTGAACCAATAGAGCACATTTCCTCTAAGGATAGAAGAGTAACTCACACAGCTTTAGTTTTTCAGCTCTTCCACTTGTGCTTCTCACACATGTGCAAAGAGAGATTTGGCCAAGGGTAAATGTATCATTGCCAAAGATCAGAAGGCAATGACATATCTATGTGCTTTTCTAGCCATTATTTACATAGTGCACATTAATAAAGAAGTATAAGAAGGTATTATTTTTGACAGGAATATAAATGAAAAAAGTATAGCAGCTTAAACAGAAAATCAGAGAAAATAATATAATTATGCTTAATCTAAAACTGTGTATCATTTGTATAATCATATAAAGTCCTCTATGGCCATGCTTAGTTAAGTTAGTTTCTAAAAAACAAAAAGAGCTTGTATTAGTATTGTTTCTTTTCCCCCTAAATGTCTTATAGGACAAATTTTTCCCGTTTCAAGAAAACAATATCAACTGACTATCTGACCCCTTTTTCATATAATTATGTCTAGATTCCCTTTAACAAAGTTTGTTCTCTCTTGTAATAAATAGTTACATGAATACTACAGTTACATGCATTTCTAAGTTAGAATTTTGGGCCATTTTACAAATAATGTATATGTTATAGAATTACAAATTTTATGAGTATATAGACATTGTGATGTCTGTTCAAGTATGAAGGGTTTCTGACTACAAAATTAGAATCAAGAGCCCAGAAATGGGAGGCTAAGCCAATTATTTTAATGGGGATTTCCTAATACCATGGGCAGGAGCTAAATGATAAAAGACTTTAGCAACATTCTCATCATTTAGATGAAGAGGCTGACATTTAATTTGGTTTAAAATAGTACTCATTTATTAAATGCATAATGCTATACAAAGGTCTTAGTAAGTCAGTCCTGAAAGGAAGCAAACTAAACGCCTATTAGAGAATTAGGTTTTCCTCCCTCTTCATGTTAGTAAGGACTTTCTTTGACATACCATCTTGTGCTGAATTAATGACTGCTACTAGGCTGTACGGTCCATCTCCTTTGTTGTTGAAGGCCTTCACTTTGACTTGAAATGCAGTAGAAGGGCTCATGGTTTCATCTTTATGGACGTATCGGCCAGTGTCAGGATTAGTAACTGTGACTTTTTTCCATTCTTCTCCATCAAACGGCTTAAATGCCACTATGTAACCAAAATTGTTGCCATAGTGGTATTCTCTTGACAAAGGCTAAATATAAATTAAAATATTGAGTAAGTTTCAGTAATATAGGTAACGGAGGGAATCCTATGGGGATAACAACACACACGGAGGCATGCTCTTTGTAAAAACATACTCAGTTCATATATTAGTGCTGGTTCCAAATGCCAGAGGAAAAACATGCTCAAACATGAGATGACCTTATTTACCAAATGGTAGCCTTGCTACTCCTTGAACACCTCAGAGGCCTCCTACTCTGGGCCTTTTTACTTCAGTTCCTTCTGCCTAGAATGTTCTCTTAGATGTCATGGTACTCCTCCCCACCTCCTCACTTTCTGGAGGTAAAAATCACCTACTTGATGTTTTCTCTGGCCACAGGTTCTGCCATTGCAAGATTCTTTTCACAATTTCCCATGCCACACCCTGCTGCTTGCTGTTTTTCTTTAACCCTAACACAATCTATACATTTTATTTATTTATCTACTTTATTGTCTTTCTCAACTACTAGAATACACATTTTATGAAGGCAGAGTTTTTGTCAGTTTTGTTTACCTCTTTATCTCTAGCATCTAGAACAGGGCTTCAAATAATATGTATTTAAAGGATAAGCAAATGAATTTCATTAGAATTGAAAGGCAATGGTAGGAGAGTTATACAAGACTCTAGAATATCTACTCTGTGATCAAAAAGGAACTGGTCAGAGGAATAAAAGCAGGTGACAAGGAGGAAGGCCATTTGTAGGAGGATGGCTTTGGGTCTCTGTCTATCCCCAATGCTAAAGCAAGTGCTTGGTTTTTCATCATTTTCTCAAGGTTTCTTATTATCACCCATGTCAATTGCCTTATAAAGAAGTCTATGTCAGGCCTAACCATCTATTATTAATAAATATTGACTTACAGCTACTTCTAGTGAGTACTTGCCAGTTAGCCCTTTTTAGCAATTAAGGTAAATACACAGTTGTATATTTACTTTTTTTTTTTTAACCAGAAAAAAAGATGTCTTGAGGCAAAACCTGGAAGTAAATATAACACTATTGCTTGGACATACTTACATTAAATAGGAAGATGTAGAAATGTTTAAAGATCAAACAGTAGAAGCTGTATGTGGTTGCACCATATAGTAATAGATCTATGATTTTAGATTATTAGATAGCACAGCCTAACACTTCTACAATAGTTTAAACATTTTTCTTATTGATAGTTCTCTACTTAGTTTTTGGAATTTAGAGTGTAACAGAATCATCTATAGAGCTTTCAAAAATAACAACTCTCAGGCTCTATCTCCAGAAACTGGAATTTGAATCTTTGGAGGAAAATTTCCAGTTTTGAATTTTTTAATAAGGCCCATCTTATTCTGCAGCAGATATCCACAGAATTTACAAAAATCAAGTTAAGCCAAAAGAGAAAAAGCGAAATATTCTAATTTTTATAATATTTGCATTTTTGTGACATTTTATTGGCAATAAAACTTAGAAATATTTTAAGATTCAGATTAGCGAATGGATTTTTTCACTAAATCTTGCTTTAAAATGTGATTTAAATGCTAAGCATAAAAATGACTACAAAGCACATAGTCAAGTTTTGCTAAGCATTCACTTATTAAATAAATCAGTTTGCCTCATGCAAATAATAAAACCTGTCATTTTTTTTTTATACAGTCTTCAAAATCCTTTGGAGCCTAAATTCTGCTCTTTATCTGCAGTGATCCAACACTAAGCATATTTAATGAATACATGAATCTATATAAACCATGTTATCTGGATAAACGCCAGATGTCTAAGTCAGACAATTTTGTCCTATAACAACTTTTCCCACCCCTCCCAATATCTTTCCTATTTCCAAAATCCAGCTAAGATGTTTTATTTTCTAGTGATTATAGTCTCTGATAGAGAACTCTCCTTTGACTCATGAAACTGTAATAAAATGCTTTGGATACCTCAGTAACTAGTCCCATGGGTGACTTCTAAGATTGACCTATCATGCTACATTACACCAGTGATCAAAGTAAGCTTCAAGTGAGAAGGCAGACTCTAATTTAAAAATGGGTTTTGATACAAAGTTTGTAAATGGAATCTTTGGAATTTAGAATGTCCAGAGACAATGATTTAAATTACAATTAGATTACCAGACTACAATGATCAAAGTATCCCCGGAATGAGACAGCTGAAGGTTTAATCACCTAGGCTAACAGATATGTTACCATCCAGGATTCATTCTTGCATAGGAACTACACACTAAGCCATAGTAAGCCAGATAAAGTGTGATATGCATTTAAAAAAAAATAGTAATGTATTTTTGCTTGTGCATTGGGCTTTCTCTTTCAACTTGATTTATGAAGCAACCTATAATAGGTGCAAACTCATCAATACTTACTGCCCATGTTATGGTCAGCTCTCTGTTTCTTCCACCTCCACCTCCTACATCTGAAGGAGCCACATTTGGTGCTGAAACAAACAAGCGAATATATTCAGAACAACAAAACTAGGGACTATATATTTTTTCCTGGTGTTAGAATTTGTATTCACCACAGAAACCACAAATTTTTTCTTTAGGAAAAACACACTGCACACATGATCAACGCAATTATAGTAACAATGGCTCACAGTAGCTGTTATCTGTTTTTCTGCCAAGATAAAAATTGATTTGGTGCCACAGGAAATATGCCCATTTCCCTCAGCAAAGGATAGCAAAGCAAATTTGCCTGCCCATCTTTTTCTTCTTCTGTCCTTTCACTTAATATGATTTTGAAAGATTACATAGACTGTTGGAAAAAGATTTTGCCACTTTTACTTTGGAACCCTATGAACTTCTAACAACTTACTGTTGTGTTAGTTTTATGCTTCATTCTACAAATCAATGTTAAGAAACCATGCATTTGTATTGGATAATGTTTCCCCAAATATCTATAAATATTAGAAATCCAATATTGTCTGTCTGCTCTCACTTTCACTTTCTCAACTTTTCTCTGAAACTGTACCATTGGTGACTCCAAAGTACTCCCTCCCCCACTCTCTTACATTCAGTTCCCTTGCTAGAAAGAGCCTCTGTAGTCTTCTTAAAAATGTTTCTTTCTACTGCTTTCTTAATCCCCAAGCCATTGCTCCCTTTTCTGCCACTGAACTGCATGAAAGAACTGATATATGGCTATTTTTTTTTTGTACTTCAGTCCATAATCACTTTTTAACAACCCACATGTATCCAATGTAGGAGTTAAGAAGAAATCACTTAGGAAGAAAGTAAGCATATGGGAGTCCTTGGTAAGGCTTTGCTCTTCAGTGAATAGCAGCCTGTAAAGTTGAGCTGCTGACATAGACAAGCAAACTGGGAGCTTGCATAGGTGAATGGTGGCAAGAACTATGGCCTAGACATGTTCAAGATGGTGGCTCCATCTTCCCTTTTTTCAGTCACACGTACAGTAAGAAGCAGACCAGATAGCACCAATCAACTGAAAAGCTCATTTGCATAAGATTAGGGTGCAGCAGCCAGCCTTCCCTATACACGATGTAAACGTCATACCTGATCAAACCAATCTGTGAGCCCTATGTAGATCAGACACTGTCTTCTTAAACCTGACTATAAAATCCAGCGCATTCACCGCCATCCAGTCTTTTCTGCTTGGGGTCCCCACTCTCTCTAGAGAGAGAGCTGTTTCTCTTTTTCTTCCCTTCTGCCTATTACACCTCCACTCTTAAACTCCTTGTGCGTATCCACGTCCTAAATTTTCGTGGTGTGAGATGATGAATTCCAGGGAATATACCCCAGACAGCATAGCCGCTTCATATTGGGGACCTCATCTGGGGTACCAAGGTACAACATTAAAACAGTGAGTAGAGAAGCAGACTCCAACTCTGTCCTTCCATTCGGAGGCTATTGGCCTCCATTTTAGAACCAAATCAAACAAAATAATGGGCCCACTTCAGGCATTTAAAAACAACCTGGCTGCCACCCTTGTAAGACTTGGGGGACAGGCTAACTGGGGAGAACATAAAGAATCCACCAGGTACATATTAGCCATGTTTGAACCAGATTTATTTCATGGAGGACTTAGCTGTCATGTACGGCTGGAAGAAGTCCTGGGGCAAATGAGGATTTTTGGCTGGGGCTACTCCCTCGTGTTTTCCAAAGGCTACTGATTTGACCCCAGCCTTTGACCACCCTGATGGGGTGTTGGCCACAAGATCTCCAACTTTCCTATCATAGTTTCTTTCTTTCCTGTTGGCAACTGTCATAACTCTTATCTTCTCTGTGTATGTGACTTGCAGGAAGATTTACAGTTCAGGAAGAAATCTTGTTTGCCAAGATCAGGGAATGTCATAGTAAAGGGGATATAGCTCAAGGAATATATTGTGATTTTTCTAAGAATAGAGGGCACCCCCAACCCCCACAGAGAGCATCTCTCCCTGCCCTTGGCCTAGAGAGCAAATGGCATTTTTAGGTCTCTCTCTGCCCTTGATGTGGAGAGCACAAGGCATTTCCAGGTCACTCTCCACCCTTGGTCTGGAGAGCACATGACATGCCAAGGTCACTCTGCCCTTGGTCTAAAGAGCACATGGCATCTCAAGGTCAACAGCACCACCTAGTGGAACAGGAATCCTCTCCATGAGGCAAATTGTTGGTCACTTACCAAAATCCCTAGCTTCCTAATTCTTTCCCCTTTTTATCCCTCTCTGCTAGAAACCAGGCTATACACTGTTTCTGTGAATGAGAAAACTCTGCCTTCAATAATTAGGAGTAAAATGTCCTGTGGAACCAAATTTTAGTCTCTATACTGTCCTACCTTCAGGAAAACAACCATTTGGTCTCTACGTTCTTTTAAGACACCTATTCTACCTCCAATTAGAATGGTACTTAATTAACAAGGGGATTTGAAGTCTGGAAGTTAACCAGAACCATTATCTACAGGTAAACACTTTAGCATGGGCCATAAGATCAGGATATAGAGCTAAAACCAGCACACATCCTCCATTAAGGTGGTAAGTGCAACAATTGCCCAAGTACAACTGTTTGTTCCTGCAATCTGGGCACCACCCAGCTATCCATCCATGTGGATGAAGTTCATGTTTCTATAGAGGACATACCTTTCCCACACAATGCTTTGACTCAGTCTGAAATATAATCCCCAAATCTGTTAAACAATTTAAAAAGATGAAATATTAGTCCCCAAATCTCCTCCCATTGTGGAATAGCCACACCTGCCTTAGAGTGCTCACAGCAAGATACCTGTTTACTGAATTGTAGCTCCTAATAATTGTGATTCCAAAATACCTACATTAAAACTTCTGATGTTAGCCATGCAAAGTCTTGGTGAAGTATATACGTGAATTGCACAGAAACAAAACTACATGCTTTTCCTTTTATCTATAGAAGTATATAGTGGATCACTCCTGCTTGGGGGACACAGAGAAGGGACCCAGACCTTGCCCACCAGCACCCAGCCCTTGAGTCAATACCACTTCCAGCGTGACCACACACAGATCCACCAGGGGTCCTCTGCTCTCACCCCCTCCTCAGCTATGTTGCCTCTGCCACTGTGGTGAACACCTGCAGGGAGTCAGACACCCCAACACTCGCCAGCATTCTGTTACAGCTGCCACAGCTCAGCCCTCCTGTCCAGTGAAGGGATGCCAAACTTTTAGGAGACAGAAGACAAAATGGGGGCCCAGTACAAGTCCCCAGAGCTATAGCATGCAGTCCTGGAATTGGGAGCTGAATACTGGCCCCATAAAATATTGTGGAAATGAATTCAGTTGGCTGAATCTACCTTATACCACAATCAAACTCTCAAAGTCATCAAATAGGATAAAAGAGGAAAAAAAAGCAAAGGTCATTAGTTTCAAAGATTGAAGGCAGATAAGCCCCCAAAGATTAGAAGGAATCCTCTGCAAATGCTTAAAATTGAAACTCCAGAGTGCCTTCTTTCCTCCAAATGATGGAATCACCTCTCCAGCAAAGGCTCTGAACTGGGCTCAGAATGGCTGGATTGACAGAAATAGAATTCAAAATATGCACAGAAATGAAGATTATTGATCTAATGGAGTACAATGTAACCCAAGGTAAGGAAGCTAAAAATAATTATAAAACAATGAAGGAGCTGACAGACAAAATAGACAGTTTAGAAAAGAATGTAATCAAACTGATAGAGCTAAAAACACACTATAAGAATTTCATAATGCAATCACAAGTATCAACAGCAGAATAGACCAAGTAGAGAAAATAATCTCAGAGCTTTAAGACTAGCTTTCAGAAATAAGACAGTCAGATAAGAATAGAGAAAAAAGAAAAAAAATGAAAAAATGAAAAAAAAAAGCCAAGAAATATGGGATTATGTAAAGAGACTGAATCTGCAACTCATTGGTGCTCCTGAAAGAGATGGGGAGAATGGAACTAACTTGGAAAACATATTTCAGGTTATCATCCAGGAGAACTTCCCCAACCTAACTAGACATGTCAACATTGAAACTCAGGAAATGCAGAAAACCACAGTAATATACTTCACAAGAAGATCATCACAAAGACCCATAATCATCAGATTTTTTTAAGGTTGAAATGAAAGAAAAATGCTAAAGGCAGCTAGAGAGAAAGGTCATGTCAACTACAAAGTAAGCCAATTAGACTAACAATGGACCTTTCACCAGAAGCCCTATAAGCCAGAAGAGATTTGGAGCCAATATTCAACATTCTTACAGAAAAGAAATTTCAACCCAGAATTCCATATCCAGCCAAACTAAGCTTCATAAGCCAAGGAGAAATAAGATCCTTTTCAGATAAGCAACAACTAAAGGAATTTATTACCACCAGAACTGCCTTATAAGAGCTCCTAAAGGAAGCACTAAATATGGAAAGGAAAGACTATTACCAGCCACCACAAAAACACACTGAATTACAGAGACCAGGAACACTAGAAATCAACCACATAAACAAGTCCGCAAAATAACTGGCTAACATGATGACAGTAAAAAATCCACATATATCAACAATAACCTTAAAGTAAATGTGCTAAATGACCCAAGTAAAACACACAGAGTGGCAAGCTGAAATAAGAACCAAGACCCAATTTTATTTTTTCTTCAAGAGATCCATCTTACATGCAATGACACTCATAGCCTCAAAATAAAAGATGAAGAAAAATCCACCAAGTAAATGGAAAACAGAACAGTAGAGGTTGCAATCCTAGTTTCTGATAAAACAGACTTTAAACCAGTAAAGATCAAAAAAGACAAGGACACTGCATAATGGCAAAGGGTTCAATTTAATAAGAAAATTTAACTATATTAAATATGTATACACCCAAGACAGGAACACCCAGATTCATAAAGCAAATTCTTAGAGACCTTCACATAATAATAGTGGGAGTCTTTATCACTCTACTGACAACATTGGATAATCAAGATAGAAAATTAACAAAGATAATCAGGACCTTTTGATAAAATTCAACACTCCTTCA